TATATATATAAATATATATATATATATATATATATATATATATATATATATATATATATATATATATATATATATATATATATATATATATATATATATATATATATATATATATATATATATATATATATATATATATATATATATATATATATATACATATATATATATATATATATATATATATATATATATATATATATATATATATATATACATATATGTATATATATATATATATATATATATATATATATATATATATATATATATATATATATATTATACATCTATTTTTTTTTTTTTTATATAGGTATATTTATATATATTTATACAAATATAAATATGTATGTATGTATATCTATATCTATATATATAATATATATTTTCACATATATATACACACACTCACACACACACACACACACACACACACACACACACACACACACACACACACACACACACATATATATATATATATATATATATATATATATATATATATATATATATATACATGTATATATATATACATTTTTTTTTTTTTTCAAGAGCCATTCACACCACTGCAGGACATAGGCCTCTCTCAATTCACCGCCGTGGCGCGTTAATACTTGTGCCACGGCGGTGACTTCCCCTACGACACCTGCGTTTGACTTCTCAAGGCGATATGTCAGTCAGAGCGCAGGCATTTTTACGACCAGAGTCCAGTGCTCTAACCACTGAGCTATCGCGGCATGTATATATATATATATATATATATATATATATATATATATATATATATATATATATATATATATATATATATATATATATATTTACATGTATACATATATAATATATAATACACAATACACACACACACACACACACACACACACACACACACACACACACACACACACAACACACACATATATATATATATATATATATATATATATATATATATATATATATATATATATATATATATATATGTATATATGTACATACACACATTTGTATTTCCTTTATGATTATCATCATTGTTTCTATTGTTGTTACTGTGATTAATTGCTTAAATTCTGAGAATCTTACCACCTATTAATCTCACTTCCCCCTGCTTAGTGTCTATCTTATCCTCTCTTATTTCTTATTTTCATCTTAACTTTTCTCTTCCCTCCTCATTCACGTTCTAACTTTCTCTCCTCGACTCACATTTCCATATATTTTCCCTTTCCTTTTTCCTCCTCCCTCCCTCCCTCCATTCCTCTCTCTCTCTCTCTCTCTCTCTCTCTCTCTCTCTCTCTCTCTCTCTCTCTCTCTCTCTCTCTCTCTCTCTCTCTCTCTCTCTCTCCATCTCTCTGTCTCTCTCTCTCTCTCTCTCTCTCTCTCTCTCTCTCTCTCTCTCTCTCTCTCTCTCTCTCTCTCTATCTCTCTCTCTTCATCTCTCTCTCTCTCTCTCTCTCTCTCTCTCTCTCTCTCTCTCTCTCTCTCTCTCTCTCTCTCTCTCTCTCTCTCTCTCTCTCTCTCTCTCTCTCTTTCTCTCTGTATCTTTCTCTCTCTCTCATGCCCTCTCTCCCTCCCTTCCTCCCTCCCTCCATCTCTCTGTCTCTGTCTCTCTCTGTCTGTCTATGTCTGTTTGTCTGCTGTCTGTCTGTCTGTCTGTCTGTCTCTCTGTCTCTCTCTCTCTCTCTCTCTCTCTCTCTCTCTCTCTCTCTCTCTCTCTCTCTCTCTCTCTCTCTCTCTCTCTCTCTCCCTCCCTCTCTTCCTCTCTCCCTCTGTCCCTCTCGCTTTCTGCTCCCTTAAGTTCCTGGACAAAGAGAGGCTAACAGACAGCCTCCCTACGGCTTTTCCGGTGCGCAAGGTCACCCCTGGTAACAACACGTTATTGCTTTCTGCAATAACTCACACTCACTCTCATACTCGCGGGTTCACTCACACTCACTCTCATAATTATCTCTTTACTCACACTCACTCTCATACTGATTCGTTCACTCACGATCACTCTCATACTCATGCATTCACACTCATGCTCTTGCTCTCATACTCACTTTCATAATTATCTGTTCACTCACACTCAGTCTCATCCCATTTGCTCACTCACACCGTCATTCAGTTTCGTTTCATACTCGTGATTGTGTTCTCTCTTACTCGTTCAGTTACACTCACTCACCTTTATGTCCATGGCCGGTACTCGCACTCACTCATCTATCTCTATCTGTCTATCTATTTATCTATCTAATTATCTGCCTACCTATCTATCTCTCTATCTCTATACATCTATACTGTATATCTATCTATCTCTACCCATACGCCTGATTCCATTTTCCTTCCATTTTCCCTCTTCCTCTCTTTCGAAAATTTATCCTTTTCGGAATTTCGCCTTTTCGTAATTTTCTCCCCGACCTGTCTCCTTGTCTCCGCCCTTTGCCCCGAGAGGCTTAGAGGAGAAAACGACCTAACAGCCTCGTTTGTGTCGCTGATTGGCTAAACTGGGTCGTTAAGCCAA